TTAAGAAATCAAAGTAGCATGAAAGACAGCAGAAGACCTGTAGAAGACATGGGGTTAACCTGCTATTTTGTACAGAGAACATTTGAAAATCTTTTAATTAAAGTCAAAGTGTGAAACACTTGGGAAAATATTCTGCATATCAAGCTCACACAATCATGGCACCACTTAGATACACTTGAAAATGTGCTTTTCTGGTTGTAATGCTGATTAAATATTTCCTTTTAAAAAGAGATGCATGTGTGTGTGTGTGTGTGTGTGTGTGTGTGTGTGTGTGTGTATCCATAGCGGCTAGAAGAGGGCTTCCATGAGTTGGAATTACAGTTGGTTATGAGTTGCCTGACATAGGTGCTGGGAACTGAACGCAAGCTATCTGCAATAGCAGTAAGAGCTCTTAACCCCTGCGCCATCTCTCCAGCCCCTTGATTTATTTAATGTGTGCTTTTATTTTGTGCCCTTATTTAGAATCCTGTCTTATGTATGATTAGAAATTCTTTCAAGACTGCTTAGTAGCCTTTTATCTATGTACTAAACAAGAATTGGCTGTGCTTTCCTGTGAATCTTCCTGTTAAGTGAGGTAGACAATATATTACTAATGAAAAATAAATAACACCCTCAACTCTAAGATCTAGTTCCTGATTTCAAGAAACTTTCTGAAACAAATCTAGAACTTCTGCCTCAGGACATTTACATTTACAATGGTGAGGAGCAAATGCACCTTCTAGATAGCTTTTCTTCAACGCCCACAGAACTGAGTCCATCACCCTGTCCTATACTTAGGGATACCTCTTTACCTATACTAACATTACAAAAGAAAACCGCCCACATTCTCTGTTGTTGAGCTGGAATGAAGAAACAAGTTCTGAAGTGAGAATGTAAAGGAATTCAGAAGCAAAGATATTGAAGGTCCATGTCTGTTGATGCTGGGATTGTGATCATGGAAACACTCATGAAGATGAAGGCCATGTCTGTAGACACTGGGACTATGATCATGGAAGCACTCATGGAGATGAAGGTCATGTCTATAGACACTGGGATTGTGGTTGACGAAACCCTCAAGGAGATGAAAAGTGTGAGGTAGGTGCTACAATAAGCTGTGATTAGTAGTGCCCCAAAGCATGACAGATAGCTCTTGACAGATCTGAGGGTATGTGCTTTATAGTGCTATGTTCTAGGAGATTGAAATAGTGTGGATAGAACAAAGCAAAAAGCAAGGTTTAGTTGATTTTACAAACACAAAACACAGGTGCTCTCATTCAGTTGTATATCAGATAACATTTTAATGTATGTCCCAGACAATATTTGCAGTGAAATTAATTTTTATCTGAAATTACATCTTAATTGGGTGCCCTGTATTTTTGTCTTAAATTCCTGGGAAATGGCCTGAAAGGAAGGAGAGAATCCTCATATCACAGCTCTGCTCTGCTCCCTGCAGCAGCTTGAGGAGTGATGTCCAGACACCTGAAAACATGTTGTGAGATAAATTTTGCTTGTTGGCTTGCTGGGATTTGCATCACTATGGAAACAATTCTCTGGGCATGTCTCTGAGGGCTCATCTGATTGGGTCAACTGAGGTAGAAAAACCCACCCTAAATACAGGCAGGACTGGTGTAGAAGCTGCTCTCTGAAGGTAACAAGGGAGAGGGCCCATGGTATGGATTGCAATTTGCTCACAGATGTTACCATGAGAACAGATATTGGGTTTAAAATAAGAAGAGCCTGGAGCATTGAGGCAATGAATAAGATGGTTTGTTCTGGGTCAATATAAGCAGGTAAGAAGGACAGGATTCTGCGCCGGCACAGCTGGCCTCCCAATGGCATTGAAAAATGTAAGGAATCATTGTCTTTGTATACATCCTTCCTTCTGATGTAGCTAATTTCAATAGACCAAATTGTAAGTTAGTATGGCTTCTAATAGGCTCCCACTTATCTTCAAGTCGACTCAGCAGAAACAAAGCTGAATATAAGGTAATTAAGAAAGGCTGCAGCTGCCTCTTGGTGACTGGGATAGAGTTCACTTTCTGCATGGTAGAACTATAAGCTAATCATGCGAATGTGAGAACAAGGAGAGTTTAATACAACTACAGCACTTGAGATGCCTACAAGGTAGAAGCAACTCCACCAGGTGACTAACAGATAGCAAAGATCAGCAGCCAATAAAACACAAGTTGGATGTGGGGAAAGAGGGCTTCAAATACCCCTAACTACAAGAGGGTTCCACAGGCATCTCCCTGACTGGGCTAGGAGAATGTTTGCCAAGCGTGTGAGCCCTCCATTGGCTCAACACAGGGTAACCTAAAGAATTAATATCTGTAGAGGTTACCTCAGCTTTAGACCAGTTCCTGCCATGTTCTAGAACAGTGGTTCTCAATTTGTGGGTCACAACCCCTTTGGGGTAGAATATCAAATATCCTGCATGTTAGATATTTGAATTATGATTGATAACAGTAGCAAAATTACAATTACGGTTGGGAGTCACCACAACATGAGGAACTGCATTAAGGGGTCACAGCATTAAGCAAGTTGAGAAACACTCCCTATTACATCTCTAGACAATGGATTTGAAACACTTTTTTCCTCTCTTGGAAACCCCTCCCTCTTTAAGAATTTCTCTATTACTTTTCTTGTATTTTTTCTTTTTCTCTTTTTTTGTGAAAATTGTCAACTTCTTGCTTTTCTGTAATAATTCTTAATGAAGTGTATCTCTGTTTTTCATACTCCCATGCCCACATCTTTAACCTTCATGGGTGTAAGAACAAAACCAGAGCCACTGGTCCTGGGTCATCCATCTTTTATGTCTGTGAGCGTCTGACCTCTCAGATACTTATGTCTGCACAACTGGTCTGTAGAAGGTTCCTGAGATGTCTCTTCTTGGATGTCAACTAGAACAAACTAAAAATCAGAAAAGGAGGCCAGCCCTATGATATTTTGCTTGGTTTGAAGTGGGTGAATTCACTTCTAGTCCAGACCTTTGAGATTGGAAGACAAATGACTTTGACCCTGACTTTGAGGCAGAAAGACACATGCCTTTAATGTGATCTTGAGGTGGGAAGATACACCTTTAATCTGGACCACATCTTCTGCTAGTAGCCTATATAAGGACATGGAAGAAGAAAACCTTTGCTCTTTGCTTGCTTGCCTTTCCCTTGCTAGAACATCCATCCCTTCACTAACAGTAGAGCCTACTTCTTCAGGATTCCAGAGTCTACCAAAGACCAGTTGGGACATCCAGCTTCATGGACTGAACAAATTCTGTATTCTTGGACTTTCCATTCATAGCCAGCCATTGTTGGGTTAGCTGGATCACAGCCTATAAGTCATTCTGGTAAATTTCCTTCATGTATGTATACATATATACATGTAATATATAATGAGATATAATATATGTGTGTGTGTGAGGGGGGAGAAAGAGAGAGATTCATTCTGTAAGTTCTGTTACTCTAGAGAACCCTGAAAAATACACCACCAAAAACCATGTATCTGCACCATTCCATGAGGTAGAGTCCAGGACTGCATGAAAGGAGAAAGCATGGCCAACACAGGCATTCAATGCTCTCTGACTGTGGTTGTTGCCTCGTTTTCCCTATTACCAGACACAATGCGCTGATTGTTTTTTGTCAACTTGACACAAACCTGGGTGTATCTGGGAAAGGGGAATCTCGGTTAAGAAAATGCCTCCATCAGATTGGTTTGTAAAGAAGTCTGTGGAGGGTTTTCTTGGTTGATGATGAGTATGGAAGATACTTGGCAGGTGGTTCTGGGTTGTTTTAGAAAGTAGACTGAGCAAGCCATGGAGAGCAGTCCAGTCAGCAATGTTCCTCCAGGGCCACTGCTTTAGTTCCTGCCTTCAGGGTCCTACTTGAGTTCCTGCCCTGACTTCCTTGGTGGTTAAGAGCACTAGTGGCTCTTCCAAAGAACCCAGATTCAGTTCCCAGCACCCATATGGCAGCTCATAGCCATTTGTAACTCCAGTTCCAGGGGATCCAACACCCTCTCCTGACCTTCACTGGCTCCTACATGCAGTTGGTACATACATACATCCAGGCACATATACATATCCCAAACAAATAAGCATCTTTCAATAGTATTGTCTCTATTTAGGCAGTCTTCATAGCAAATGTTAATTGTGCTGGAATTCTTGACACTCGACTAGCAAGATCCTTCAGCCAAACTCCAGGGAGACAGACTTCTTTATTTTGCCACATCTCCTTCATTTTCCTGTCTTGCTATCCTTCTTCACTAGAAAGTGAGTTCGTGAAGGAAGTGTCTGGAGTAAGTTATAAATATGGAGGAGTGGCTGTTGAAACACAGCTCCAATCACTCACTCTGATACTACAGTTTCCTCAACTGCATGACGGGGTCAACCAAGGTAGCTTTTCAGAGTTTATTGGAGAATGAAATAAAGCAATGTGAGCACTGAGCGTGGAGCAGACAAAGCAAGCTGAGACTATAACACATGGAAGAACAAGGATGAGGGAACATGAATAAAGGGATGGTTAAAGGACATCGCAGTTGAATCTTCATTGAACTCACCTAAACAAAATTGACAAAGCTGCTGTCTTACACGCATTCCCAACCAATGCCCTACAGTGAACTAGAATCTCCTCCCAAGCCCAGGAAGTTGATGCCACCATATTTTCCAGGGTGGGACTTGGATAGGGATTGAGTTTGAACAGAATTAAATTAAGACCCTTTGGAGAAATGTGTGTGTGTGTATTAGATTTTTTTTTTTTTGGTTTTATGAGACAGGGTTTCTCTGTATTGTTTTGGAGGCTGTTGGTCCAGCCTGGCCTCAAACTCACAGAGATCCGCCTGCCCCTGCCTCCTAGGTGCTGGGATTAAAGGTGTGGGCCACCACCACTGGCGTGTATTAGATTTTTTTATTTATTTAGTATACAGTGTTCTGCATGAATATATGCCTGCATGCCAGAAGAGGGAGCCATGTCTCATCAGAGGGTGTGAGTCACCATGTGGTTGCTGGAAACTGAACTCAGGACCTCTGGAAGAGGAGTCAGTGCTCCTAATATCTGAGCCATCTCTCCAACCCTATTGTTTTAATAAAGCAGAAATAGAACGATCTCAAGAGTTCAAGATACCAATTATGGGAGGAATGGTAACATTTTCCACACTTACTGTGTAGTCAAAACAATGTCTTAAAATTACCACTTGGGCAAGGCCGTGGTGGCTTTAATCCCAGCACTCGGCAGGCAAAGGCAAGTGGATCTCTGAGTTCAAGGCCAGCCTATTCCAGGATAGTCAGGGCTGCACATATATTTCTCTTATTTCACGAAGGACCAACAGATCCTTCTCTCAGCTGTGATATTAATCTGGAAGAAGCTGTGGTTTCTCAAGGTGTTTTCCACAATAACCTTCTGTAATATTAGCATACATTTGTCTTTCTGAAATAGATAGCACAGCTCTTGCTGCACATAAGTAAAAAATCATGCGAGTAGCTCTTCCAGACAGAAAGGAGAAATGAAACAACCATGATGGCTGGTAGCTGAAGACATGTCCTACTCATTGAATTCCATCCCTGGACTGCCCCAGGTGTGGCCGTGCCTTTGTACCTATGTCTGAGCATTTTGTTGCAGCTGCATCACTGAGTCCAACTAGAGTTTAGTATAGTATAGTGGAGAAACGGAAAGCAGCATAGATATGTTGTTATCACTTCCTCTGACCTTGATTTTGCTCCTAGAACATGAAGTAGCCAAGGTTGTCACCGGTGTTGTTAGGATCAGAGCCTGAGTCTTGGAAGCCCTAGGCTAAGGCTTGGCAACCTGTTCTCAATAGGCCAATTAAAGGGAAAAATAATAGCAAAAGCAGAGAGAGGTTTATCTCTATATGGCCACAACTGGGAAGAGGAGAGGGAAGTTAGTAATGTCTCCTCCCCCAAGTCATCTTCAGGATAAATTGAGGCTTAGGTCTAAATAGAAAGGCATTTTTTAAATTAGTGATTGATGGGAGAGGGTAGCATCATCCCCGGACTGATGGTCCTGGAGCCTATAAGAAAGCAGGCTGAACAAGCCTTGAAGAGCAATCCAGTAAGCAGCACCCCTCCGTGGCATCTGCATCATCTCCTGATTCCAGGTCCCTTCCCTGACTTCCTTGAATAATAGATAATGTTGAAGTGTAAGCCAAACAAACCCTTTTTCCCCAAGTTCTTTTGGTCATGCTGTTTCTTTACAGTGATAGTAACCCTAAGATAGGATTGATATATCTGTCAGCCCAAGAATTCCCCAAGACAGCCAGCTAACCACTGGAAGCCAATGAAGAGACTGGCAAAGGACTCTCACGGCCTTCAGAACGCAGTCACCTGCCTGACACACTGGTCTACATGCTTAGGCTTCTGCCATCCATGACTATGAAATAATAACTGCTGTTACTGTAGCCAGCTAGTTCATGGTACTTGCTGACAACAACCCCAGCAAGCGAATACTTTCCTGGTGACTCAAAACGATCTTCCTGCACTCAGTGCTAAAGAATGGTGAGCCAACATGGAGGTGTCCATTCTTACATCCTACACTCCTACACCCCCCCTGCTCTATTAAAGACCTTCATCAAGCAAACTGAGAGGTTAGAAACAGAGTTAAGGATGAACATCATCTATTCATCTATCCAATCATGTAGATCTTTTTTTTCCACCAATATTTCTTTGGGACTCAAACATCAGACTCTAGCTAAATTCAAAATGTTTTCCATATCGATTGAATGACAGCACTTGTTTGGTGGTGGTCAAGAAAAGTAGAGCCAAACTCTTGTATTCAAGATGGACAATGAGAAATTCTGGCTGACCTCAAAGCAGCATTCTTAGTAGCAAAGGGTATTATTGTTCAAAGAGCTTCCCAGGGAATGTCATAATAATTGCTCAGACTGAGTCACAGGAAATTTTCCTGGACCGGACTTTGAATAACACACTTTTGGGAACAATCTTAAATTATAAAGTGGGCGGATGACATCACTGTTTCCACCACCATCTTCTGTAACAGCCCCTTGTGGATACTTCATAGTATGGGTGGTCAAATTATAGCCATTGAATGGTAGATACAGTGAAAGATGAATCAAAATGCCTTGACTTTTTCCCCCTGCTCCTTTCCCCAAGTTCTGTCCTGCATACTTCTCAGCATTTCCAGTTATTATCTTCCATTTTTCAGAATTTCCTGCTATTGTGTTTTCACTTAAACTGCAAGAAGTGTTAATTAAAAACTGGAAGTGATAGCTAGCCAGACTCACACACCTTTGTAGACCTATCGAAAGCTGTCTTCTGGCACAATTAAGCTGTCAACAGAATAAGCCCACAGCCTGTGTCTCTTTGATGGTGACCTGGAAAGGTCCACTTCACACCACTAACAGAAAATTAACAATGAGATAATTCTCACGCATTTTCTTTTGAAATGCCTATGTTTTCTGTGTTTAATTATTGAGTTCAGCTTGCTGACAACTTTACATGGTTTTCTAAGACTATGTCTGCAATGTGAGCTGTCATGCTGCCTGGGTGGTTAGTTGGGGGTGGGGGTGACATCAGGATTATTTACTTAATTAGACACGTGATTGAGAATAAGGAAGTTTCGAGAAGGAGGTTGCCTTCCAGCCAAATTTGTTTTTCAGCAAATATTCACTGATTCCCTAACAAACCAAATGTAGATCATCAGGAAGGGGGGACACTTGTCTCTATCAAAGGGAAACAGAGGGTTGCAGTGCATAAGACTTCAAATGAGACCTGTCTTTACCTCTCTCTCCAAAACAGAGCACAGCCTCCTGAAACATGTGGAACTCCTGTGTGGTTGTTGTGGTGGTTGTTTTTCTTTCAGTCACACTCCAGGGTTCTCTGGCCAAATGGCTACTGTATTAGCTCCTCTTCATCTTTGTGACCGTATGACTGAGAAATAACTTAAAGGTAGGATTGGTCTGGACTCAGGTTTCGGTTTGTAATTTGTTTGTTCCCATAACATGTGCTTACACAGAACATCGTGACAGCAGGGACACGTGGTGGAGAGGCCAGCTGTGTCACCTGTGTAGTTACACAGAACATTGTGAAGGCAGGGATGTGAGGCAGAGAGGCCAGCTATGGCAGGCGCAGGCAGGAAGCAGAGAGGGGGGGGCTGACTCACATCAATGTTGAAAGAAAGCAGAGTCCTAATGGGTGAGAGCCGGGTGGGATACAGCCCCCAAAGGCATACTCCAAATATCTACTCCTCACCTTCCTCCTCTTACCCCTCCTGATAGTGCTATCAGATTATGAATCCATCCATGGATTAATCCCTTGATTAGGTCAGAGCTCTTAATGGCATCTTGTTCCGCCAATAGACTTGAGGTAATGGCCTTAGGGTGTGGCTTCTGCGTGCCCCTTTATAAGGAAAAGGGGGGACTCACTTGGGCTCTCTTGGGTTGTGGTCTGAGCATCCTGCATCACAGACTCTGCACCTCTAGGAGCAGAAGACTGAGGTGGTTATTTACCATCATTGTGTGAGTGCTCCCCAAATAAATATCTGTTATTCTTTATTCAGGAATTTGTGCATTTCCTTTAATATGCCTCAGAGCCCTCCTGAGCCAATTGTCTTAGAGCACCTCAGGGATGCATTTCTCTACCAAGTTGATAATACATAACTTCTGTCTATCACTCTTCCAGGGCTTGCTATGGGTCTCATTTCTCAAATCTTTTATTTTTTTCTAGGAAGCCTTTCTACAATCTCCTAATCTTTCTGGCACATTCTGGATAGAACTGGAAATCCCAAGCTCTTCATTCAGATTTCAAGCTGAGAAAGTCCTTTGCCTCCTGACACTCACAGATTCTTCAGACAAAGGCCCAAGAGAATTCACAGGCAGCAGAGACGCTGAACAGAAGGAAAGGGGGAATTGTGACCACACAAGAATGTCCTGGTTCGCGTGATTACTGTTCTGTTTTATCCTAAGGACCAAAGAGGGTACAGAAGTCATTTTTACATAGGAAACATGAACTGAGGTTCAGCTCCATTAGTGCAATAGTTGCCTAGCATATGCAAAGCCCTGGGTTTGATGCTCAGCACTACAAATAAATGCATAGGTAGCTAAACAGATTATATATGGGATTTATGTTGCTAATGAAAGGGGTGATAGAGATAGATAGATAGATAGATGCCTAGATAGATATAACTATAGGTAAGATATTATCATTGCCACACAGGGTTACAAATTTCAAGGTATGTGTCAAACCTTCATTCCCTCTTGTAGTCCGTCCAAAAACATCCAATGAAAGTGTTTACTCGTGGCTTTTTGGAGACCATTCTCTATGGAGGAATACCTTGCTCAGCCTTGATGCAGGGAGGAGGGGCTTGGTCCTGCCTAAATTTGGTGTCCCAGACTTTGTTGACTCCCCAAGGGAGGCCTTACCCACTCTGAGGAGTGAATGGGGAATGGAATGGAAGAGAGGACCAGGAAGGTAGGGGGAAGTGGGGTTGGTGTGCAAAATGAAAAATATTTAAATAAATTAAAAGTGTTCACGTACATGTTGGACTGGAGAGCTGGATCATAGTTTAAAAATACCTTCTGCTCTTGTATTCAGATCCTAGCACCTATGATGAGTGTTTCACAACTGCCCTTTAATGCCAGCTCTGGAAGATCTGATACCCTCTGACATCCTATGGCACCGATACTCAAGTGTCCCCACCTCCCTCTCACATACATGTAAATAAAAACAAATACATTCTTAAATCTGTTTAAAATGCTGTCCATCATTGTTTCCTGACTCTCATCAATTGCAGGAGAGAATGAGGTACTGGAAGCACATGCCCAATGACTTCAGAGCAACTGCACGCAACAGCTTGAAGTTAGCGGCTTCGGAAACACGTGCGTGTTACCTCCCAGTTCTCTAAGAAGTCCAGACTGATTTCTCTGCCTGGAGTCTCACAAAGCCAAATCAGCATCCGCAGATTACGTTTCTATCGGAGCATGCCAGGGGAGAATCTGTTGGCTTGAAATATTGACAACTTTCAGTTCCGTGTGACTAAAGGTTCTAGCTTCCACACTGGCAAGGTGACACACTGACTCTCAAGAGCTTGCCTTCCCTTTCTAGACACCAACTCTGTTTTTTTGTTTTTCGCTACTACCTCCCCTTGAGTAATACCCCCTCCACTTCCAATTTAAAGATCAAGACTCTACCTAGACAATCCTCGATAATCTCCTCTTTTAACAGCTGGTTAGTGATCTCAATATTGTCATCACTGTACTTTTTGAGAAGTACCACAACTGACGTTTGAATAGTCAGGGTTTTACAGAAACACTGAGAATTTTGCTACCACATGGGGGCAAGGCCTCCAGCCAAGTACATACAATAGGAAGTTGAACAGACTCTTCAGAGGCCCCAAAGACAGAGAAGAAATAATCAGTGTCCAATACCACACATCACAAAACGGGTTTAGGCTATAATACACCCCACACACACACACACAATTTCTGTTCAGTGATGGATGATGTCCCTAGTGCTGAAGATTAATTCCGAGAGTGATGTCATTCTGAGCTTACACATAGCTAGCTCTAACATGGCAGAGCAATGTGGCTGGCTTCTTCTGGCCTCCGGCTCATAATCCTTCCAAGCTTCTCTATTTGGGCTCCTTGATCTTGACACAGGGATAGCACTTCTCTCAGGGAGTTCTTGGGACCTGTTTCAGAAGAAGGTCAGAAACTTTCCTCATTTTCATGATCTACTTCAAGGAAACAGAAGGTGATGAGTCAGAGTAGCATAAAAAGTAGCCATGTACAAGGTTATATATTCTCTCCCCATCACAGACAAGGTTAGCCATCCTATGCACTAACCACCCTCTGCCCACCTCTGCTGGTCCTGAAAGATGGTAAAAGACGGCATAGGCCTCCATAATATGGAAAAGGGGAACAATTTGCTTCAGAGGCATGTTTGTCATCTTGCATTGTACTAGACTGTCCCAAACTGGAAAAGGTACTCTAGCAATCCCAGAATTCATCTAGAGGTAGTGGAAGAGCCATCTAACACAGGGAGACCAACATATAACAAGGATAAACAATAAAACTGCCTTATACCCTCTGCAGTGTAGTCTACTCAGCAAATAGATACATGTACCATTAATTATTGGCATAGCATACCCGAGTCACTATATTAATTATGATGAAACCACCTCTCATCCTTCTCTCTGCCTATTAAAGAAACACTAGGTTTTTCCCCCTTTAACTGACTGTTTTAGTCATCTTTTAACATTTTCTGAAAAGTTGCTTCCTTGTGATCAGGCAAATGCCGAGATAATGCTATATCCTTTGGTTCCAGTTTTAAAATATGTAATCTGAGAGTGGGTGAACAAAGTGACATACAGTCACTTTCAGCAGAACAGTGAGAAGGTTAGTTGGGGGTTTTCCTCAAGGTCTGTCACCTCAGGAGACAGGTTGGATTGGATTTGACCCTCAATCCCACCAACAGCACCTGCTTTCACAAGGCACCTGCTGCTTCACGAGGCACCTGAATCTCACAGAGACAATTTGAAGTAATGTTCATCTCCCATACCCAACCACAGTCATCCGGTCTAGAACTTATCTTTGTTGTTGTCCTGTTGTAGTTAACGTTTTACTCAGCTGGCAGCCAAGACGTGCGACTTTCCCTGTGACATTTCCACTCAGCCCTGCTCACCCCCAAGCCAGGGCTAAAACTACCTTCAGGAAGATTCTTAGTGACATTTTGACAGAACTCTTTAGCATTTCTGGGAAACCATGCTGTCACCCTTGGGAACAGCTCACCGGTGTGTTGCAAATGGAGTTCCTTAGACGGCAAGGCCCTTTGGAGAACCCCAGCATTTGGCAAGGACCTGTGGACACAATGCTGCAAACTCATGTGCTGACCTTGGGAAGCTCATGGCCTTTAGGCTTCACTAACTCTCACTATACTTATTCTTATGGAAATTCTTAGTTTTGCCTTGTTAGTCATGATTATGGCTTAGTTCACTGGGAACAAAAGTCTGTATAGAAATACAGAAATATGGCATTTCTCTGATCTGTTACAAAAACCAGTTTCTCCAGTTGTCTCTGTCTTTCTTTGCAGTCATCCCATATAAGCAGGAGGAGCTCACTAAGGTTGATGATGATTGCTTATTCAATATCAAAAAGAGATAAATATATTCCAAAGAACGTGGAGAAGACAGTCTCTTAAAAGATGACATTAAAAACCTTATAGGAACACAGAAGGAAAAAGAGATAGGACATGAAAGGTCAGACATTTTTCTGGCACACCACGATGTAAACACTCAGATACTCTTCCAATATCAAAGCATCAATAAAGAAATCTAAAACTTCTAGTTCCCCTTAAAGAAGTACATTTAGAAGTTTCCAGGAGGAACAAAGAAACTTAGTCCCCATAGATAAAGAGTTAGGTATTAATCATTATTTTTGAGAACTTATAAAGAATAGGATTCTAACTGTAATCCATATAATAAAGTTGATATACAGATTACTCAGAAAATGGCATGCACCTGAAAATGATACTTTAGGCATCACAACATATTTATCTGATTTCAAGTAGTTAAGAATTAATCACAGAACTCAAATTTCTTACTTTATAACCACACGTTTGCTGCCAGCTAGGGCACAATATGAATAAGATGTACCTCGTTAGATATGAACATTTGGCTTGCTATATGACAATATGGGATAAAGGTCAGTGACGTCAAGGGAGAGGGAAAGAAGAGAAACTGAAATGTTAATGATTCTTGGGAAATGATTAAAGAGAAATGATTGGAAACTGCTCATGCTTGAATGCATTAGAACCTGTATATACAAAGACGGCCTGAGCTAGTCAGGGCCATCGGTTTGAAAGACAACCGGTGGTCAGACTCCTCCTTTTTCACCAACTTCACACATCCTTTCTGTGGCACAAGAATCCCATTGGAGCTGTACTCCAGCAAATAAACTGTGAGTTGGAGCAACTGACATCAAGCATAGCTCAATTTATACACCATTGTAGCCTTCGGTAACTATGAACGTGGCGTACAAATAGAATGTATATGGCCTATCACTACACTGAAAGCCTTTTTAACAGAATATGGAATTTAGAAATGTAAAGGTGCATTTTCATTGCCCACAAATGAGATTTTAAAATACCAGGCAGTAACAGGAATATCAAATATAAGTGATTAGATGAATTAGGCTGTTAAAATCAATAACTTAAATGGCAATAGTTCTGTGAAGACTAACAGAGCTAACACAAATCTCCACAAATGTGCATGCTTGTTATTTTAAAGTTGTGTCTCACAGAGGCACACTGGCACGTTTATATTTAACAGTACCACTGCGGTTGTTGTGGGAGTGTGTGGTGTGGGACAGAGCATTTCGTATCTACAGCCATGTTTCTCTTGTTTGCGTACTTCCTCACCCATTCTTCTCAAGATGTTGTCATCTGCTCTCTTGACTTTGCTCAGCCTGAATCAAGCCTTTTCTGACTTCTCCTACTGTCATCGAAACAGACTGAGAACTTGGGGGTTAAGATTCTGGGCGGGGGACTTTGTACACCACGTTTCCCTCCTGCTCTGACCGCATGTCAATTCACCAGACTGCCCCACTGGAAAGCACTGTCTCATAGTACAAATTCCATACAAGAAGACTGGTGAGATTACCTGTAGTCAACCCTGACCTTGGGATGCTATTACTGATGATGTGAAACAGTCCTACAATCATCACAGAAGAACAGTGATTCTACCTAATGATGTCATCATGCAACAAAGGAAGTAAGGCCAACAATGCTCATAAATGCCTCAAAAGAGTATAGAAAGCCATGAGCACGTTTGGCAGACAAAGCAGTGGCAGAGGTCCAAGGAACTTTTCTGAAGAAAGGATGTTCAAGCCCAGACCTGCAGGATGAATATGTGATCACTGAGATTTCGAAGCAAGCAGGACAGTGAAGTGAGGGACCAATAGAATGCATGAGCTGGATGGGGTACAAAGATCGTTGAGCCAAAACAAGAGGGGTTCAGGTGTCACCAAGGAGAGAGGGGATGGACAGAATGCGTAGAGAGGCTATTACAACTGGGGCAAAATGGGCTGATTTAGACCAAGATGGCAGCAGAAGAAATAAAGAAATGTAGGCCATTGTACAAGGCTAACAAACCCAAGCCAAGTGCTTCTGACTTCCACACTTGGTTGGAGCATTCACTCAGCTAGTGCTCAGTTGGAGAAACTGGGATACTGGGGGTGGGATGAGGGGATAATCTTTAGGCTGACATAAGCGAGGTGTCCTTTAAGAATCTACAGTGTGGATCTGGGTGGGGATCTCTGGAGGTGAGACCACGTACTGTTCTTTCAGAGGACCTGAGTTCAGTTTCAAATCCAGATTCCTGACACCTATGTCACATAGCTCATCATAGCCTGTAAGTAGAGCTCCAGGGAAATCTGATGCATCTGGATGCCTTGAGCACCTGCATTTGCAATGTATACACCCAAACACACACACACACACACACACACACACACACACACACACACGGGCATGTGATTAAAAATAAGAAAAGCAAATATTTTTTAAATGCTCTTAAGAATTCAACATTGAGCCAGGCGTTGGTGGCATACACTTTTAATCCCAGCACTTCAGAGGCAGAGGCAGGTGGATCTCTGTAAGTTCGAGGCCAGCCTGGTCTACAGAGTGAGTTCCAGGACAGCCTCCAAAGCCATAGAGAAACCCTGTCTCAAAAAACCAAAAAAAAAAAAAAGGAGATTCCTCAGGAAAATGGGAATCAGTCTACCACAAGACCCAGCAATTCCACTCTTAGGTATATACCCTAAAGATGCCCATTCATACAACAAGGACATCTATTCCACTACGCTCATAGCAGAATTATTTGTAATAGCCAGAACCTGGAAGCAACCTAGATGCCCCTCAACTGAAGAATGGATAGAGAAAATGTGGTACATTTACACAATGGAGTACTATTCAGCAGAAAAAAACAATGGAATCTTGAAATTTGCAGGCAAATGGATGGCTCTAGAAGAAACCATCCTGAGTGAGGTAACCCAGTCACAAAAAGAGAAACATGGTATGTACTCACTCATTTATGGATTTAGACATGAATCAGGGGAGTGCCAGCCTACAATCCCACTGCCAGAGCCTAGGAAACAGAACCTTCATCCAGCGACTGATGAAAGCAGAGGCAGACAAACACTGAAGTGAACTCTTGGAATCCAGTGTCAGAAAGAGAGAACTGATGGGCAAAGGAGTTAAGAGTGGGCTGGTTTAACCTACAGAAACAGTTGACCTGAACAAGGGGGGGCTCTTGGACTCCAGATTGATGGCTGTGTGGAAAGCATGGGACTGACCCAGACCTCCTGAATGTGGGTGTCAATGAGGAGGCCTAGGTAATGTATGGGGCCTTGGGTAGTATTTATTCCTGGAGTACAAATAGACTTTGAGTGTCCATGCCACAATATGGGAGGCTCTCTCAGCCGGGACTGTTGGGGGAGGGCCTAGACCCTGCCCTGGCTGAAATGACAGTCACTGGAGATCCACCATGGAGGGCCTCACCCTCCCTGAGGATCGGAGTGGAGATTGGGTGGGGAACTGGGAGACCTGGTGGGGAGGATGGGGGAGGAGGGAAGGGAGAGGGAGCTGGGATTGACATGTGAAACAAGACTGTTTCTAACCTAAATTAAAAAATAATTTTTAAAAAAGAATTCAACATTGAGCAAACAACTGGCCTTGACCTCCAGTGAAATATGTGGACTTGCAAATTTGATGGTTATGGATTTAAAGGCTGTGAATGCTATCAAGGTACATGAGGTTCCTAGAGTAAGTATAGAGAAGAGGAGAGTAGAAGGGGAAAGACAAAAGAAAGGAGAAGGGAAGGAAGGTCTGAGCAGGCCTCAAGGGGCTCCAGTATTTCAAAGCTGGGTAAAAGATTACAGGGGAGAAACACTATGCATATTGAATTTAAGTAGGATGCTGCTGTATCTCAGGAGTCAAGCAGACAGAAGCTATAAGAAGAGAGGGCATCACGATTGAGAAGAGAACTAGAAATGTGTGTGTGTGATTGACACGCGCAGGTCACCAGTGAGCATTCTGGGAACATTAGGGAGCAAGCCCACCAATGGCATGCTACCATTATTATAGTGCTTCAGACCTGAGGGGCTTAAAGGATTGCCAGCTCATCTGAACTAGTGTGATGTGGTGTCAGTCTATCCACGTGGTGCTGGATAAGTCATTCATTAATAAGCCTTCTTTCTGTCTTCAATGTGTCCTTGTGTGAAGACTGATTTATGTAGCACCCTGCGCCATTAGTAAGGGGAGGGTGGTGTGGACCCCTCCTTAGCCCTCTTTTCAATAGGTTGGGAGCATGGAGTGTCCAACAAAAGTACAAAGGCAGACTGCCCAGGACATGATTTTCAGTTCCATTGTTTGTTGGCCACTGAACTTGAGGAGCATTAATTTAATTTCTGGGGCTAGTCAGACCTCAGTTTCAACACAGGGTGAAAGGTCTGTGTAGAGTGCTAACACAGAGTCTTTAGCAAACATGACTTCCTTTCATTTCGTTCTTTATAATTCCCTCTCTTTACGGTGCTGGGCACGGGACTCGGCTTCACACACATGCACGAGGCAAGCCTCTCCCACCAAGCCTGTTCCCTGTGGTGTCTCAAGTCCCCAGGGTGTCATGGCGCCACATCAGTCTGTCTTGCCATGCACTCCCTTCCTTGTGCCTTACACTGCCAGACAGGAAAGTTAGGGTTCTGAATGAGGGTTCTGGAGAGGTGACTCAGTGGTTGAAACAATGGCTGCCCTTCCAAGAGGACCCCAACCACATGGTCACAACTGTTTGAAAGTCCAGTTCCAGGGGATCCAACGCCCTCTTCTGGCCTCTGTGAGCACTGCATGCATGCAGTACATGGATGTGCCGCTGGCAAAATAATATACATAAAAGTAATTTGGGGATTTTTTTTTAAAAAAGGGATTTCCAAAGTGGTAAAATAATGCATCAAAATAATGTTACACTATGAGTACATAATTATCAAGCAGGCAATAACACTAGTGTGTTCAGCAAAGCCAGAGGGACCCACCAAATCCTAAAGGCCTTGGGGAAGACAGGGGAGAGAAGATGGGGATGGCCAGAAGGACTGGCCAGTGTGTTGTGCAGATGGCTGTCTAGGACAGGCTACGCATCCTACATCTTACCATGTTAGAAATGTTTCCCTGGGCATTAGACTGATGTACTGATGCCCAGAGGCCCTACTCTCCACAGCTCTGACTTTCAAAAGCACAATTCCACTCAAATGCCCTTGAAGTCAAATCGTACCTCATCAGCAACATCGGCTCCAACATCGCAAGCGGCTCCAAGGTCCCCAACGCCAACTCCAGTTGTAAATAGGAGCGGGTGCCTGGGTTCAAACTGATGGAGAGCATGGCCATTTACCGATGGCTCCTTATTTGTTTTCAACTCCTGCCTCTCACAGCACGGAGACACAGTCTTTAGCCTGATTGAAAGTGTCTCCTTACAGGACGACTGACTTTCATCGCGAAGTGCACTTCAAACACGCCCCGCAACGGAGTCATCCCCTTCCAATCAAGGCTGGTGGATAACGAGATCACCTCAGCCTGGCACCGTGCCTTCATCTGAATAAGACAAACAAGCTGCTTCTGTAAGGGATCCAGCTTTCTCTTGGGGCAGTGGTGAGCTGGGCCTGCCCAGCCCAGATTGAAAAGACAAGGCTTGCATTTGAGTGTGGGCTCTAGGGAAGCCAGGGAGAAAACTGTCATGCTTGCGGCCAAGGGCTGACATCAAGGGTGGAGTCTGTCTCGCGCTGTCTCTGTCCCGTCAAGGCGGCACCATTTTTCTGGGAAAGCCTTTTGGAAATGATTGATATCAAGGATGGGCGTGTCCAGCACTTTCCCCCACCTTCCTTCTGAGAACAAGAAGCCTATTCTTCCACATAAGGACTCGGAGTGTGTGGTCCGTGGAGACTTGCCATGGTCCCATGGCTGATTTGAAATGTGCACTTTATGTTGAAGAACTCGTTCTGAGGGATTCATTTCCCACTATAATTTGCATTGAGAGTAAGGGTGGTCTGTCACTATTTTCTCCCAGCTGTCCTTTTGGTGGATCCTGTGGCACCTATGCCTAAAGGTCGCCCAGGAGTGGACTATGAATTAGAACCCATGAGAAGAAGAAAGGCTTGTGCTGTGCCTGACAAATGGCGGGGTCTCCTCTGTGGAAGTGCCTGTGACTGTTTTTATTTCATTGCTCTTACCATCCTTGGACACTTCCAAATTTCCAAAGTGCTTTCTCTGCATAGCTCAAACTCCCTGTAGGCAGGGTCTGGGTTCATAGGTTTCACTGCAATAACCCAACAGTCTGAGTGTGTATTATACAGGTGTGTGTGTGTGTATGTGTGTGGTGTGTGTGTGTATGTGTGTGTGTGTGTGTGTGTACCAATCCCACTCATATCCATCTCCAGCTGCAGCTCAAAACTTCACAACCTAGTAAAGGTTATGAAAAAAAACGCATAACACTAAACTTTGTTTTTTATCTTTCAAGAACATTCTTTTTTCTAAAAAGTTGGCTTTTAAGTATCTTAGCAAGAGACTTTGAGTTTTTGCTAGCATACTCACTAGACTTATCATTTACTCTTAAGTTTCGTTAATTTTTTCAGGCAATTTATTTTTATCATATTCTTTCCTCTCCTCCAATTCCTCCCAGATCCCCCACCTTCCTAACCACCGAACTCCATGCCCTTTCTCACTTTGTAAATACAAACAAGTAAAATAAATATATATACACAATTAAAAATTAACAATGTGGAAAGACACAAAAAGTTAAAATCAAAATAGACAAGCTAAAGAAAAACTTAAGACAAAAAAGAACCAATACAAGACAAAATAAAACAAACATGCATGCGTGCACACACACACATGCACACACTCAGAGTTCATTTTGTGTTGGCCAACTATTGCTAGGCAAGGGGCCTGTCCTGGAGTGTGGATGATATCCCCAGTGACACCCCATTAGAGAAAACTGACTTTCCCTTTCTCAGAAGGTATCAACTGCAAATAGCTTCTTGGTGAGGGTGGGATTTCATATTCATGTCTCCTTCTCGGTGCTGGGATTTTGTTTAGTTTGAACCTGTGCAGATCTTGTGCACACTATCGGAATCTCTATGGCTTCATATGTGACTAGTGATCTTGATGGACTTGAAACAGGGCATCCCATAAAGTGTCTTCATTAGTCTATTAGTAAAACCATTGAAAATAGAAGATCCCACCAACAGCACCATGTCTTTGATTTGCATAGATTTAGTCTCAGAATTCCAACCCTGGAGTGAATTTGTTATTCACAGAGTAGCTAGTAAAGTCACAATGTTGGTGGAGAGTGGGTATGTTCTCCACCAGAATCATGTCTTGTAGCTAATGTTAAATTCTTCAGCACAACACACACTTGAACCAGAGTCCAGTTCCCAGCACCCACATCAGGTGGCTCACAACTCTAGCCCAGTGGATCTGGTCTTCCCAGGTATGCACGCAACATGCCATACATTCACACAGACACACATAAATAAAAATTGTTTTTAAAAAACTAAATGTTGTTTAACCTATGTGGTCTGTGATATTTCATCATGGCAGCCCAAGAAGATTAATGTATCCAATTAGTAAACTAGTGTTTCTAAAATTATTCCACTAACCCATTAATTATCTAACATTTATAAATAGTCCATTATCAACAAGTGGTCATCTTTTGCCCATTAATAAGAAAGTTCTGTGGGTGGAATCCATATAGACTGCCATTGTAGAATTAAGAGAACTAAATATTCAGTTTATAATCTATCCAAGACTCAGACTAAATCCATGCCCAAATTATGTTTGAATAAAAATCAATAGTTAATGGTCATGATAGAGACACAATTGACACACAACTCAAGTGAGAGACGACTCCCTTCTGCTATGGGGCGCAGTGTAGAAACTTTAAAATAAGAGTTCCTTTTCTCAGGCATTAAGACTGGACTGGTTTAAACCCCAGAAACAGCTGACCTGACAAGGGTTAGCTCTTGAATCCCAGACTGATGCCTGGGAATCCAGCATGGGACTGATCAAGAACCCTTGAATGTGGGTGTCAGTGAGGAGGCCTAGGTAATCGACTGATCCTTGGATAGTAGATCATTTTTATCCCAGGTATTCAAATGGACTTTGGACTCCCATCCAACAGTGAGAGATGCACTCTCACCCTGAACTCTTGGGGGAGGGTCTAGGCCCTGCCCTGGATGAAATGACAGACTATGGACACCCCTATGGAGGGCCTCACCCTCCCTGGGGAAATGAGGGGATATTGGCGGGTTGGTGGGAGGACGCTGGAGGAGGGGAGGGAAACGGAGAGGGACCTGGAATTGACATGTGAAGCAACCTTGTTTATAATTTAAATTTAAATATGTATAGAGTTCCTTTTCTCATATGCTTTATTTGAACTATTCCACATCTCCCATCAACTCAGAGCCTGGCTTCTGCAAGCAATTGGCAAGACAAAGGAGAAGTCACCCCTGAAGCCTAAGGGCTAAGAATGCTTGGGTTTGATGAGTGGTATAAAGGGTTCTCTGCTGAGAGCAGATGGCATATTTAGTGAGATAGCAATCCAAGGGAGTGTCTAACAGAAAGCAGAAGAGGGTTATAGGTCACCGTGTCACCTGCTGGTGCTGTCTGCTGCGGGCCATTTTAGGTGCAGGCTTGGGGGTCTAGAGGGACTGTCTGTCTTTGTGCAGATGACTCGGGACTGGGCAAATAACAATGATCAAGAAATGGACTCGAGAGATTCTCAGAGAGGTGAAGAGCCCCTGGGAGCCTTTGATACTGCCTTTCTCTGGAGGAAATAATAGCATTGTCTTCACACTGATATGAAATGGCACATTTGTCATAAGATGTTGCTGGATACCCCACCAAGCTCATGATTGGCACTTAAACATTTCCTACGCCTCTGAAGTTGTAGTGTACTTCATAACGTCAATTTGGTGTTTTTATGAATCATGTAACAATTTAATTGGAATGCAAAAATGTCTTCTAAAATTGAGTCCAGCCAAAGCATGCTGCTGAAGTGGTCATTTCTCCAAAAAGACCATAAGCAATTCAGGATGACTTCTCTTCATTTTTATAGTCTTAATTCCAAGTTATCATCCTAGCACTGGGGGCATGTACTACAATGTCTGTCCGCATGAATACTGAAAAATGGAATAAAACCCTCTTACTACAACCCGAAGTTAAGATACTTTGTATCACACTGCTTAACTAGGGCTTTCTGGACTAAATACTCCACAGGACCAGTCCCAACTAGAAGTCAAATGGTTTGCTACTTTTTATCCCTATAAACTTGTCAGTAACTCAGACTCAATTTTCCAGTAACTCAGATTCAATTTTCCAGATGATTGCTAAGACAGAGAATCACTAATTTGTTATCTTAATCTTAACATCCTAAATTATCACTGAAGCCTATCTTGTTCAATTAACCATGTTCTTTGTGGTACATTGTCTCCAAAATACACCACAAGGTGGCGCTGTTGCACTGATTTAAACTAACCACCATCCTGGCCTTCTAGGCCAGCTGTAGGTTTGATGTAAAAATGCTAAGCTTGTGTCAAAGGGTTTGAGTATGTCCGTGTTTATTCTGCCAGACAGGAAACGCTAAGCGGAAGGAAGGAGGAAAAACGTGCCTCTTCTGGGGAAGCCGTTTTAAAGAATAGGCGCATAAGAATGTGCTAGAAGTAAGTGAGACCATTTCCCTCTCTGCAGACAGAATTCAGTCTTCTAGTCAATCGTCAGCGAATCTCTTCTCTGAGTTTGATCCTTCTGCAGGGAGGAGAGTGAACCGAAGTGGTGGGGGGGGGACACAGCTGCTCCCCCAGTTGCTCAGAGTGCAGAGGGCAGTAGAGAATTGCAATAGCCACGTCTAGTGCCAAGGCCCAGCTCAGAAGTCACAGATAGGAGCTGTGTCTCCTTTGCACGGTACAAAGCCTGGATTCCACAACTGGAAAGCAAGAAGTCAGGCTCCCTTAAAAATACACATTCCAACCAGCTGGTGGTGAAGCATATCTTTAATCCCAGCACTGGGGAGGCAGAGGCAGGTCGATCTCTGTGAGTTCTAAGCCAGCTTGATCTACAAAGTTCCATGGCAGACTTGAAAAACTACATAGAGAAACCCTGTCTTGAAAAGCAAGCAAGCAAATAAACAAACAACAACAACAAAATACACATACCAGCACCTCACTCAAAGGCATGCTCCAAAAATTCAGTTATGGAAATGAGTTATGCATTCATAAGCAGGGAGCCCCACCCAGGCCTAATATTATACCATTAAAACCCAGCATCTGTAGAATGTCCAACACAGAAGCCCTTGGGAAATAAAAAGGAGTTATCCCAGATACAAAAGAATTTCTTCTGGGTTGTGAGTCGTCTTTCTGCACCCAAAGGTTCCATCTCTGGAGATGCAGCCAACAGCCCGTTGAAGACTTGAAAGACAAACTGTGCATCTGTATTAAGCGTGTCCAGACTAGCCCCTCATCCTTACTCACGAAACAATACATAGCATTTATATTTTATTCTGTGGGACTTGGAGATTCTGAAGGCAAGCACGCTGGCTGTGCAAGCAAGAAGACCTGAGTTCAGATCCCCAACACCCACA